TACAGCGAAGGAGGCGAAGAGTCAGGTAATGCCAGGCTCTTGGGTCGGGGAACTGTGTCTAACATGTGCGTGGTGGAAGCCAATGGACGTCTTTTCACCTCACACTGAAATCAAGTCAGCACTGTATTAAACAGGTAAATAAGAAGCAAATCATAACTGTTCCCTAAGTCCCCACAGCTTTTAGAAGAAAAGGTGAATAACATCGATTCTCTAGCCAGGAAAGAGCTTTTTTTCTTTTTCTTTGCTGGCTCAGTCTCCCTGGGGACAAGGCCGGCACAGCATGTGCCTTGCCTAGCCAGGCGCTTTAGACTGCTAAGCTATCTCACCAGCCCCTAGAAAAGGGCATTTTAAAATACTAAACTCCCAAGGGATGTTACACATGAAAACTATAAATTTATGTATGTTCCCTCCAAAAAACAAAACAAATATAAATGCTGTAAATATAAGACATTAATTGTAACCGACCAGAAAAACAGTAAGCTCTCAGGGTCTAAATGACCCAGTTTGTAAAAGAGCTATAAATGGTCAATAACTATGTGGAAAAGTATTTTTTACCAACTAGGTCAATAATAATCTTTTTAAAAGTGATAATCAGAACTGGAGAAGGGATGATGGAGCCGTGACAACAAAGCTGCCACGTTCCTATGCCTCCAGAGTGGACAGTCACCTGGCTGTCTGTGAAGATTCTGGGTTTAATTCACTTCTGGAAATTTAGCAGTCATGAATGAGTGTCACTTTTTTTTGGTACCAGGGATCAAATCAGGACCTGGCACTTGCCAGGCAGGTGTGTAAGCTGCTGAGCTCTCTGCCCGGCCTATGCATCATTTTTAAAACTTGTTTATTTTATGCAGGCACTGTATTCCCAGCTGTTCAAGAAACTGAGGCAGGAGGATCTCAAGTTTGAGGCCAGCCTGGGTAACTCAAAGACACGGTCCAACAATAAAAAAGCCTGAGGATTGTGCTCAATGGTAGGGGTCCCTAGGTTTGATCCTCATAAACATATACCCCACAAAATAAAACCCCAAATTTAAATTGTGCTAAAATATGACACATAAAATTTATCATCAAAGCCACTTCTAAGCGTACAGTTCAGGGACAGAGGTAGAGCTCAGTGGCACAAGCACCCACCTGGCAAGCACAAGGTTCTGAGTTCGATTCCCAGTACCAAAACACAGAAGTATGAAGTTCAGTGGCATCCAGTACATTTCATGTCCTTGCTTTTAGTTCTTCTGGGTATTAATTATTGGTAGGATGGCTGGGTCATACAGTAACTCCATCTTCAATTTTTAAAAAGCTGTCACAGTGTTTTCCACAGCGGTTGTGCCATTTTACAATCCCCCCAGGGGTACATGGGGTTCCAATTTCTGTACACCCCTAATGACACTGGTTACCTCTTACTTCTTACTGTAGCCTTCCTAACAAATGTGAACTACTTCGCTTTAAATTTTTTTTTTTTTTTTGTCTTTTTGAGACAGGGTCTTGCTGTGTACTTCAGGCTGGCCTTGAGCTCACCTTATTGCCCAGGATGGTCTCAAACTCTCAACAACCATCTTGCCTCAGCCTCCCAAATGCTGGGATTATAGGTGTGCATCACCATATCCAGCTCTTCATTGTAATTTTGATTTGCACTTTCCTAATTAGTAATGTTGGTTTCCTTGCATGGGCTTACGGGTTGTTTATATTCTCTGCAAAAATGTCTATTTTAGTTACTGAGACTTTTTTAAATCAAGTTTTTGCTTTTGCTGAGTTCTGGCAGGTTTTTAAATACAGCCTGATTATTAATCATTTATCAACACATGATATGCAAAAATGAACTCCATTCTGTGACTTCATTGAATTGACTGTCCTTATAGGAAACAAAGTTTTATATATTCATTTATTCCAATTTATCTGCTATTTTTATTGCCTGTCCTTTTGGCATCACAGCCAAGAAATTATTGTCAAATCTGAGGTTGCAACATTTCTAACCCCCACCCCTTTTCCTTTTGTTGGTTCAGTGCACTGAACCTAGGACCTTCACACTACATATCATTCCTTTTAAGATTATTTTATTTTGCTCAATCCTTCTACATTTTTTTTTTTTTTTTAGATTGTTTTAGGAACCGGGGATTGACTCAGGCCCTTGTGCTTGCCAGGCAGTGCTTATTCTACTGAGCCATCTCCCCAGGCCTACTCTGATTCATTTACATGCGTTTTGAAGAAAGATCTTGCTATGCAGTGCAGGCTAGCCTGCTGGTCACCATGCAGCCCAGGCTGGCTCTGAACTGGTGGTGACCCTGTTGCCTCAGCCTCCCACAATGCTGGGATTCTGGGATTGCAGGCATGTGTTCTCAGATTCAATTGGTTTTAATTCTTTTTTTTATTAATTAAATGTATTTGGTTGTTACCGGGTCTCACTGTGCAACTCGACTCATAGTGATCCTCCTGTTTTCAGTCTCCCCAGTGCTGGGATTACAGGCATAAACCACTACACCTGGACTCTATGGAAGGCTCAGCCCGCCCTAGAGGCAGGACTGGTGTGGAAGGGCCATCCCTGCACTTGCCTAAGCAAGCACTTTAGCCCACTGAGCTAGTTTACCGGCCCCTTGGCCAGTTTTCTTTCTTTTTTTTTTTT